TAGCATTTCACAAGGCTGGGCGTCAGAATGAAGCTGTAAAGGTCTTGGAGCAGCTTACCCACAATGCAGTGGTGGAGAACAGGTTCAATGATGCAGGGTACTATTACTGGATGCTGTCTATGCAGTGTCTGGACATCGCTAGAGGTGAGATGTACCCTCAGTGTGAGCAACAACAATTTGTTTTTTACTGTAAAGCTTGTTGCAATTTCCTTCTAATGTTTCATGTATGTCTGTGTTTGTCTGAACCAGAAAGTGAAGAACAGAGGGACGAAATGCTGAAGAAGTTTGAGCGTTTTCAGCATCTTGCTGAGCTCTACCATGTTTACCGCTCCATTCAGCGTTACACGGTGAGAATGTGATACCTACTGGCCATAAATACACATAGCCAGAGCAGACAAAATGAGGAGGAGGCATTGAAATCACAAGGTGTCCATTTGATTGACTGTCAGATCAATTTCTTAGCCCTGGAAACAGTACCTACTACGTGTTTAGATTTGTGTATGGGTACAAACATACTAATGTGCCTCCTGTAGTTTTATTTTATTTTACTGGCAGTCCAGTGTGTTTCTGCCGACTTTCACAATTTTTTCCAGAGTGTTGTGAGTTTACAGGAATGAGGTCTTGCTCTTCGGTATTATGTCAATCCAAAAAATAAAAATAAAACAGATTAGGGGATTAAAGGAAGAATTAAGATATGCACAGAGGGCGTTAGGTAAAGTGAACAAAAGAAAAAAATTGAGGCCATTAAGTTCAGGTTGCAATTCAATGAAGGGAAATATCAGCTTGAACGAGCCACCATTATTAGACTCCTGAAACCTCTGTGACCCCTATCACCATGGTAACCAGCTGCCTGATAGAACAAGATGACAACCTCATCAGTGGTCCTCTCCAAGCCCCCAGCCCTAACCTACTTACAAACAAGCAATTCCTGCTCATGAGCATATATGAGTGACCTGGCCTGTATCACTGTTCTGACTTTGTTGTTACAGCTTTTTGCTCTGCTATGGTCACACCCCTGCAACAGAGAGACATTGCTGTGATCCAGACCAGAGCAGGAAACCTCTATATCTCAATTTAACTCTCCCAGACAGGCACTATAGATTTGAACTATCAACTTTTAGGGCTAAAGTGGTGGTAGTGATTGCTTTAGAAATTGTATCTTTCCCCTTCAGGACTCTGTGAGTAGGGATGAGGCACTAAAAAGGGTTAGGCTGCTTTTAGACCAGGGTTAAAAGGTGGAATAATTAAGTGAGATAAATGGAGCGTTTTTCTTTTTCTATTTGTTATTAGTGATTTGTATTATTCATCCCTTAAAATTTCACCCTTCATTGTTTTTATCTTCAGGATGAGCCCTTCAGCTCCCACATGCCAGAGACACTCTTCAACATCTGCAGATTTCTCCTGAACAACCTCACCAAGAACATACCAGCCGGCATTTCTAAAGTGTATCCTAACATTTGGCAAAGTTTTAGCCTAAGATGTCAAGGAAATCTTTTTTGATATTTAGTATTATGAAGCTCTTTGTCTCTGGAAAGCTCTCAGTGACACATATTCCACTCTGAAATCAAAACTGTTAAAAGCAGTGACGAAAGAGTGGTGGAAAAGAGATAGGAAGAGAGAAGTAGGGGAGAAAATGGAGGAGCTGGCACCACTGTGGAAACCATGCTGCTGCTGAGGGAAAGAAAAGGGGTGATGATGGGGAGGAGGCGATGATGCCGGCAAGAGGTACATTCTGTCTTATCTAAACAAGTGGTTTGATTGCTGAACTCTGTACATACACATACATACATAAACACTGAACAACAAGTTTTAATTTGTACAAATACACACAGTCTCCACACCCACGATCACACAGACAAATCAATGTTGTCTCACACAGTAGAGGCTGGTATGAGGAAGGAAGGCCCAGCCTTTGAGGAGGAAATCAGGCTGAGCAGCTGTGGCCAAATTGAAATGTTCCAAACACTTTGAACTTAGATTTAGATGGACTTAATTTGATTTCAACAGTTAAAGACAATGTCACCAAAACAAAATCGCACTTAACAAGTTGCACAATCGGAGGACATGCATTTATCAAGAGTTCCAGCCATGGAACAGAACATGTTGTGTAGGAGGAGCTGGAGAGTAGCTGAGTGGAGCAGAAAGGAGAGGAACGGTGTTGAGTTTAGGTGATGGAGAAGTGCCAGTGTAGAGCTGCTGCAGCTGCAACTCATTGACCTGTGATTGCCACTCTCAGAGCTGCTCTCCTAACAACCTGTCTCTATATAAATACAAATAAGCAACAATTTCCTCAATTCAGCCCACAAACAAACTAACCAAGGTATTACTTTCAAGGCATTCAGCCAGTGTTGTTGGCTTAGCAATGCTGTTCTGCTCATTAAGAGAAATGAGGCAATATGCTTTACTTATTTATGAATGCACATTCCCATATTATTTTTTAATAAGATAGCTAAAAATCAATATTCCAAAGCCAACTCCTACTCTATCATTAATTTTTCTTAACCTAATTATTAGTAACACTTTGTATGCATTAGCCAAGCAGAGTCAAAAACTAGGTGCGTATAAGCTGGCCAGATATTCCTATGAGAAGCTCCAGGAGCTGCACATTCCCTCACGCTTCCACGAGTCCATAGAGCTGGGCAACCTCGTTATTCGCTCCAAACCCTTCCATGACAGTGAGGTACAGTGTTCAAGGCTTGAATGTACATTTAGCTTGTTGTATTAAAGTAGCTCTTTCTGTCCTGTGTATACATAAAAACTTGATATGTTTCCTGCAGGACCTAATTGAGGGTATGATGTGTTACCGTTGCTCCACTAACAACCCCCTGCTGAACAACCAGGGGAGTGTGTGCATCAACTGCAGACAGCCTTTCATTTACTCAGCCTCATCATATGGTCAGTGACACTGAAACACACTGTGTGCAGTAGCTTCCAGACAGGACTCAATTGGTCTTTTTATTAATGTAGCGTATCTTGCTGTGTACAGAGGTGCTGCCTCTGGTGCAGTTCTACCTGGAGGAGGGCATCAGTGATGAGGAGGCTCTGTCCCTTATTGACCTGGAAGTTCCTCACCTGGATCAGGGGGATGTGCGATGGCAGGATATGGACAATGGTGGTATCCTTTGATCATCTACAGTGTGTAACTGCACACGAACACGATACACACAAAAAGTAACAGATTATTCGCATGATTTGTATGAGTTACTAAGTCCTTAGTCTGCTTGTCCCAAGAGTCTCTATTCCTGCCCTTACATGCTGCATATCTCTTCAAAATGAAACACGTGGCTCTCCTCCACCTTGTGACAGTTCTAAGAAGCTGTTTAGTCTGTGTTGGCCTTGATTCTGTGCTTGTGGGTAAGCTGTCAGGCCTAAGTCATCTTAGCTCTTGAGCTAATAGGGTTAGTGAGGCTCTCCTGTCTCATCTTAATGACACTAACCCTCTGAGAGCCACAGCCACAGCCCTAGTGCAGGGATTAACCTGCATTAGCCAGCAGACACTCAAGGGCACTGAGGTCTGCTCTGTTCTTCCAGAGCCACGATGTGACTGACAGGCACAACTGATTTTCAACATTTTGCCTTTTAGAATAGTCTCGCAGGAATATTTTTTGAAGGGGTTTTCCTCTTTTGCAAATGTCATAACAGTAAATAATGTGCCAAATAGAAAATATGGTGTTGAAATGTGTGAAATATATACATTGCTTTAGTTATTTGTTCTCAATTAACAACACTAAGAGCTGCAGGCTTTGAGGATGGATGATGGTTTGGATGATCCAGAGGAAGACCCATTTACAGCCAAAATGAGCTTTGAGGTAAGAAGAGAAAGGACAAAATAGATGAGGTGATTAATATTCTGCCAACTGGGCAAACCAGCTGGAGAGGGTGAAAGGACAGAGTCTGTAATAGAATGTGGATGTGTTCATCTGTGTGTCCAAACAGCAGGGAGGCTCGAACTTTGTCCCAGTCAAGGTGAATCGTTCGGTGCTGCGCTCCGTGAGCAGGAGGGACGTCCTGATCAAACGCTGGCCCAGGCCTCTCAAATGGGAATACTTCCGCTCCCTGCTGCCTGATGTGAGCATCACCATGTGCCCCACCTGCTTCAAGGTACAGCATTTATGATGCACAGCTTGTATAACCTGGTGTGAACCATATGGTCTTTTCTCTTTACAAAGGCAGTTTTTGCTTCATTTTTCTACGAGCAGTTGCTTGTACTCTGTAAATTACATGTCATTTCAGGTTTCTTTATTCTGGAATGTTTTATTGTTTCCCTCTCTATGTCCTTTCAGATGTTTCACAGTGAGGATTACGAGCTCCTGGTGCTTCAGCACAACTGCTGTCCGTACTGTCGCAGACCAATCGACGAACCAAACTGATCTACTTAAAACTGGATCAGCCATATTAGACATTTCACATTTCACTTTTTGCACCCAGAAAGTAATCTTTTGTCCTCTGGGTTTTTATTCTGCAGTTGATTTTTTTTTTCAATTCTGTAACTGTATTTATGTTTGCATTGTAATATAGCTGTCAGTGTAGTATGCTGTGTGTATATTACAGCGTGAATCTGTTACTCAAGCTCCTTCTCAAGAGCAGCTCTTGGTTATCCAAGGATGAATGGCTGAGGTAATACCTGTAGTGTTTGTGTGTTGGTCATTATAGAGTGTAAGAGAAGTGCACCATCAGCCTGGATTACTAGGATTACCTTGGGCGGTCATTGATCACATCATCACTTTAAAGGCAGCATAGTTGTACAATTTAAAACTATTTTTAAACAACAAACAAACAAAATGCTATTCTGATGTAACAAAAAATTTTATTTTCATGTAGCTAATGTTGTGACTCACAAACACCAGGTAATCTGCCAATATGCATTCCACAGGTTTATATACTGCAGCTGTACTTATGTTTGAACGCAGCACAGGATATGTCACGGCGAGTCAGACGAATGTATTTTTTGTATTGGTAGAAGTCTTTTCAATAAAATATTTTGGTACTTAGTTTTACTTTTGGGTTTTTTTATGTTACGAGGACAACTTGAGTAATATACTTATTTAGACTGAAGCGAGAGCTGGAGGGAGAGTGCATGTGATGAGCAGTATGTCCCACTGATTCTGATTACACTCAAGGCTGGGAGTTGAGCTCTGCATTATGCAGTGGTTAGGGATTAGGCTTTTACAGATGCAAATAAGTTGGATTGCCCAAGAAAATCTTCATTTGTAGTTTGTCCACTCTGAATGCTTCAAATCACAGACAAACTGGTTTCTCTGCCTTCCCTGCTGCTCCGTTCATCTCATTCCAACGCAGCACTGATGCATATGACAGCAATGATGGAGACTGGTTAACCATGGTTGTAACCTCTCACCTTGAAAATGCCTAGCATACTGCATATCTATTTCTGCAGTTTTCACCTGTAATGCTTTGTGCTCGTGTGTGTGTGTGTGTGCGTGCCCGTGTGTGTAAATGTAAATGAGAGGGACTCTCAGTTTGAGTGCCTTAATTCCATCTCTGCTAACACGATGCTACTTGCACGCGCCTAATCCGACCAGCCTGTTAAAAGGTGCTGCACCTCCTCAGCGGGTTGCAGAGAACATCTTACTCACACCGGATCCATCCCTCCATCCACCCTTTGTCCCTCATTTCCACTTTAGCTGCACCGCAAGACTCTCTCCTAGCACTTTACACCAAGAAGAGAGACTGTTTTATCCACTGTCGAGGTCTCAGAGGAAGAAAAGACATCAGCAACTGCAGCTATGAATGGCACAGAAGGACCCAACTTTTATGTCCCCATGTCTAACAAGACTGGGGTGGTGCGCAGCCCATTTGAGTTCCCTCAGTACTACCTGGCTGAGCCCTGGAAGTACTCTCTTCTGGCTGCTTACATGTTCTTCCTCATCATCACTGCCTTCCCCATCAACTTTCTCACCCTCTATGTCACTGTCCAGCACAAAAAGCTGAGGACCCCACTGAACTACGTCCTGCTCAACCTGGCTGTGGCTGACCTCTTTATGGTGGTCGGGGGCTTCACAGTTACTCTCTACACAGCCCTGCATGGATATTTCACCTTAGGGGTCATTGGCTGCAATATTGAAGGATTCTTTGCCACCTTAGGAGGTAAGAGACTGTTTAATTTTTAAACAAATTATATTTTAATTCAACTGTCTTTTGTGTGTCACAGTTTAGGACATGTTTAACCACTGTTTTGGAGAAAGTTGGTTCTTCTAAATATTTAAATCTAAGGTAAAAATACTGTGTATGTGCTGTACTGAAATGTACACTTCCATTGTTTTATGTCTCAGGAGAGATTGGTCTCTGGTCTCTGGTGGTTTTGGCTATTGAGCGCTTTATTGTGGTGTGTAAACCAATGACCAACTTCCGCTTTGGGGAAAAACATGCCATCGGTGGCCTGGCGTTTACATGGGTCATGGCCCTGACCTGTGCAGCTCCTCCTCTGTTAGGATGGTCCAGGTACTGTCCTTTTCAGTGTCTAGACAGTTTTTTCGTGGCTTTTAAACTTCACAAAAATTTTACATTTTACTTGGACAAAAAACACCTAGGAAATGATTCTTTTTGCTAGCAGCACACGTTCTCAAAAACAGATATATACTATCAAACACTGTGTATAATGGTATTCTTAGATCATTATCGTGTGTGGCTGCAGGTACATCCCAGAGGGAATGCAGTGTTCCTGTGGGATTGACTACTACACTCCAAAGCCTGAGATCAACAACACCTCATTCGTCATCTATATGTTTGTCCTCCATTTCTGTATCCCCCTCTTCATCATTTTCTTCTGCTACAGTCGCCTGCTCTGCACAGTGCGAGCGGTAGGAACACCACTGCCAATGCAATATTAATAATAACGATGTGATACATTCTTTATCCCTGTAGAGAAATCCTTTTTTTTTTTTTTTTTTGTAACTACCTTCACAAGGAGGGTAGATCGTCACAGAGTCTCTGGAGATGTGAGGGATTTAGTGGCTCAAGGACACTTCAGGAGGTCAGACCATTGCCAACACAGCAGCTTATACCCAGGTCCTCTGGCAAAAGGGCAGTCTGTCTGCTCACTGTGTCATCCTGATGCCCTCATTAATAATACTATCACCATATTTATAATGTATTAGCAATCATGAATAGTTAAAAATAATGATAAAATTCTTAATTAAAGCAGCTTTGATCAATAAATGTTTATACAAACAATTTGAAAATGAGTTGCTCCTAGTGTTGTGACCTACAGATCCTTTGAATCTGCGACTATTCCAAGTTTGGGATGAGTTTTTTCAGCTGCCCAGTCTTTAACTTTACTGTTGGCTCAGTACCAAATAGCAGATATATGTAGTTAGAGGAGCATTTAGCAACTAAATGGCCAAATATTTCCCGCAAGTGTGGTAGGAGACCCTACACCCAATTTGTGGCTCTAATTTATTTGCATAAAGAGGCAGCAGTTATCTCTGCAAACAAAGCTGCTTTCACAATTGTTAGCTGTGGGTTAGCTCTAACTGCCAGTCACGCTTTAATTACACGACTGATACATTTGCACAAAGTTTTCTGTTAAACAACTTTGCTATTAAGTCTGGGTAAATTCTTTCAAGTTGAAAATAACAAAAAACAAAACAAAAACATTGCTGAATGAACAGCCGCATTAAACTACTTAGAGGCCTTCGCTCCAGCAAAAAACTTGTGCGTGTTAAAAGAATTTAACACTTGTATTTATTTATTTATTTTTTAATTGGGAAAATCCATAATTTCGTAAATGCTGGCTCCACAATATTATCAGAAAACACAAATTATGAACCATGTGCTACCATTAAAACATGTATTTGTTCTGTTAGCACGTTTGGCTACATTAGCATGTTTGGCCAAGTAAGCCTGAGGTTGGGTGGCAAATTCCTTTAGTTAAAATTCGTCATTTTTTTTTCTTTTTCTTTTATTAACATTTTTTGTGAAACTAGGTAACTTACATTAGAATATTCTAATAATAAATTTTAGGGTTCTAACCGTAAGCCATACTGGAATGTCGTAGTGCAATTGTTCTTGACTCTATGCAATAGGGGCACACACTGGGCTAGCGAGTAGCAAAAACAGAGCTAAAATACTACGAATGAGATTTACCAGGTGACCAGAAACTCAACAGTACTCTAAAGAATGATAGCAAGTCCATTAAAAAACATCAATGCTGTGTTCACAAATTCTGCTCCCACATGGCAAAAAAAAATAAATCACAGTAGGTTTTAATCTGATAAAGCCACCGGCAGCAATTTGCATAATTGGAGAGGTAGAATTAATGAAGAAAACTGTAGCTTTTTTATTCTTCAACTATTGCAAATGTGAAATAAATACAACTAACGACATGAAAAACTATGGCTCAATTACTGTAGAAGTGACTGTTTTGTAGTCACCTTGGTAGTCTAATTCTATATTTTTCAGTATTGGCGACGGGCTGGACCTGTTTATGTACATTTGGATCAGTGTTTCCTTTAAGCTAATAACCTGAATCTGTCTGTGCTCAGGCTGCAGCCCAGCAGCAGGAGTCTGAAACCACCCAGAGAGCCGAGAGAGAGGTGACACGCATGGTTATTGTCATGGTGATCTCCTTCCTGGTGTGCTGGGTTCCCTATGCCAGTGTGGCGTGGTACATCTTCGCCAATCAGGGAATAGAGTTTGGGCCAGTATTCATGACTGCGCCGGCCTTCTTTGCCAAGAGCGCTGCTCTGTACAACCCAGTCATCTACATTCTGCTAAACAAACAAGTATGTCAATACAATATCCTGGTTTTCTTATTTTTTGGTGTAAGAGAGAGCTTTGGTGAAGGTTGTGGTATAGTGTAACTACTGTGCTATTATTTTCATATAGTTGTACAAGAGTATTTTCATGAATCCTTGGATCCCACGACATAATAGAGGTGAATATTGTAGGCTGTATTCTATTATATTTATCGGGCTTGTTGAAGATTAGATTAGTGACTCCCAGCCTGTTGGGGTTGTGACCCTCTATAAAAAAAGCAGTGCTGTGGCCTCTGTTCAGCTGTCTGTGGGTTATTAATGATTCCCTTTCAAACTTCTCAGATGATTTAATTTAAATAATTAATGAGGGCACAAACAGGTAAAAATGGTGCAAAAATTTAGACAAGTTCAAAAGATTCATTTTGTGTACAACTGTTATCTTTTTGTCATACTACATTATTCAGCTCACTCCCCTCGGATTTATCTTGTAATAATCTTAGCGTATCTAAACTCTAGGTTGGAAACTTCAGGACTACATGCAAAATATTGCATCTAAAGGGGTTAAAACTAGTCTCAGTTTGACCAGCTACAACAGTAAAATTCTATTTCTGCATTGCTGTAGCTGTATTAATTGAATAATGTCATATGCAACGAAACATTAATAGTGGACATTCTTCTACTGAATGTATGATAGGACTGACTTGATAGGACTTTTACTTGTAGGAGTTTTTCTTTCTTCATTTTTAAAATTAATTATCTAAAATGCTTTGTCCACTGCTGTGAGAAGGTATCATAATTGTAATTCTCACCTTTTTCCATCTTTGTTGCCTCCAGTTCAGAAACTGCATGATCACCACAGTGTGCTGTGGGAAGAACCCGTTTGGAGACGACGAAGCTGCCGCCACTGTCTCCAAAACCCAGACTTCATCTGTCTCCTCCACCCAGGTGGCCCCCGCTTGACCTGTGCCCCCACACTCCCCCTCTATGTCCCATCTGTCCCTGCTCACCTGGGGACCCACCACCGCCAAGCAGCACTACGTTCTATTGGCCAATCCTCCTGACTTACCTCTCCATTTGTCTTCACTGCAGTGCCACTTCTGCACCTTTGGTGGGACCGACTTACTCAAGAGCCAGCATGTATGTTTTCAATCCATTTAATCATGGAGAGTGTTCAGCTGGTCTCACAGATTTTAACCCGGCATCAAGGGGTTGTCATCTTGGTGATTATCCAACTAAACACTATCCAACTTCCCCACTACTCAAAACACACAAAATGTAATTCAGCAAACCTCTTTGTAAGATTGTAAGATTTTATCTACATTAACTCTTAAGTACTTGTTGCAGCTATATGTCTCCTAAAAAAAAAAAAAAAAAAAGCGCTTTAAACAATCAATTTTATGCATACTTTTGTGAAATTAGGCATTAATTTGTTAGAAATCTCAGATGAGTTTTTAATGCATCAGATTCTTCTCTTCTCTTGTGTCTCTGTCTCCTCCTCTTGTTTTTGTGGTGTCGAAGCTGAGATGGTTAGCTTCCTTTTAGTGTCTTCTGAGACATGAGTGTAAACAAATGGACTTGAAAAGAGCCTCTGCAGGAAGAGGGAGCCTCTTGCAAGAGACTGGATGTGTGCGTGAGTGGTGGATATTTATGTATTTGAATGGGTGTCAGAATGTCAATGTGTGTCTTAAGAAGATATGGGGATATTGTTATTTTGTTCGCTGTGTAAAGGCTAGGATTTGTGGAAGTTGTTTTGTGTCGAGCAATAAAAACAAAGCTAAATGTCTGCATGACTTTTCCCTTACTGGCTTTTTCATGGGAACATTTACAAGGCGCTCTGAGAAGTTCCAGATGTTAGTTTGTGGGCTTTTTGGGTGGAAAGCCAGATCTTAATGGTTTTCAAATGTTGTTAAACCTCACTCTGCTGTAATACATTCAGAAGTGAAACACACTGAGACCGAGTACAATAAATGTCCTCATTAGACACATTAAAATCCTAAATACTGTAATTTATTTCACAAATTCTGACAAGTCATTTGGCATCACAATTACAGTCTCTCCTCAGATTATATTGAGCTCAACTTTTTTTTTTCATTAAATGTAAATTTCCCTCTTTTAAATTGATCAGAATCCAACAAGATACTCATTCATTTACAAACACACTGATCAACACCTTTATACTGATGCAGCTCTTCCCAGTGAACTACATTACATTTGATTTCATGAATTTCAGTCTTTTTATATTCTTATCTCCCATCCTCCCTAACCCATGACCAACCTGCAAAGCACATTGGGGCATATTGTTCAAAGCACCAATGGGAGTCAGTCGCCCATCTTCACCAATCACACCTGAGAACATTGCACGTTTTGGGAAATGGGAGGAGTTTTTGACGATCATACTAATCCTGATGAACAGGCCACTTGAAAGCATTATAACACATCTATAAATATTGCTATGGACATTATATTACAGTACAGTGCATCATTGGCTCGTTCCCTTAGGAAAAGGGTTCAGTGCGTTAAGATTGCCACCAGGGCTTACTGTAGGTCCCAGTAATGGAAAAGCCTCATCTCTGAGCTCTTACACATTCCCTCTAAAGTATACTTGAGCCAGACTGGAATTGTGTCTGTTTCATGGGGAAAGATTTGGGAAAAATGCTTGGCTCATCCCCAGTTGAAATGAGGAACATGTCGCAAATGTATGAGGCTTGAGAGGCAGGTTTAAGTCCTTTGCTCTGCCACTTCTCACCCTTGTTCCAGTCTGTGGGAAGAATAATTACACTTATGAAGGATAACTCCTTCGTGACCGACATTCCCAAGTAACCATATAGGTGGGAGAAAGGCAGCTGGCAGCAGGAGAAAGAGATGAGGAGCAAGACTGGCAGGTTCAGGCTTCACTGCAGCATTCATAGATATTGTCCTCCACAAGGGCAATGACCTGCTCGAACTTGTGGTGCAGCTGAGTGCGACGTGCGGTGGGGTTCGACTCCAGAGCATTCACCACCTGACCGAGAAGAAAAACACAACAAAGATGACTTTCAGTGGCTGTCGAGCGTTCATGCATCTATCTGTCTAGAGAGAGAAGGGGGGGAGGAAATCAGCCACCTGCCTGGACATAGAAAGTTGAGCGAGAGAAAGGGAGTGCAGGAGAGGAACAAGTGAAGTGCTTCAGCCTCTTCTCATGCCTTCACGCATGCCTCCACACCACAAAAGCGTTTGCTCTTCACATATTTACAAAACCCACATCTGCTCTGTTTTTCATGCCCAATAGTTGTCACCGTGTCAGTGGGATTTATGGGCTCTTAGCGACAGTGTGCTACGAGGCAGAGCGAACTGAGCTGGGGTGAGAGAATAGGCAATCAGGGGCCATTCACAGAGCTCTGTGAATCAGAGTCTAAGCCCCTGGCCCACGTCAGTACAGTAGCATGACAGAAGAAAGCAGCTAAACGGTATTATCATGAGGGTGCTCCATTAAGGCACAGTCACCACTGACTAAGCCTCTCTGGAGAATAGTCACAGCAGTGAGGAAACATGGGGGAGGACTGCAAGGGCTTGAAGAGGGCTAGTTCAAAGCAAAACAGGAGACATGAAGGAGCAACTTAGCAGCGTCATTAAGCAGATAGGGGCTGTGGATAAGGAGAGGGTAAACAGCACGATGTTTGCTTAAAGTGAAAGCTATCTGTGGGCTGGGAAGAGATGATTGGACACATTGAATAGTGGCTGCTGCTCGGGAGATAGTGCACGTCTGATTGTTTACCTTCTGATGGCATTTAACAAAAGCGAAACAAGCTATTTAGGTCAGATATTTAACCAGAACACTGAGTGACAGGTTGCGAGGCTGTCTACAGTCCGTTACATCTCTCAACATGGCTGTGATCTTCCACACTGATATGTCACGCTCTGATAGCCATCTGTGAAACTTAATACAGCAAGTGGGCCTGACTGAGGTGTTGTGGCTGCCAAAAAAAGGGCCAGTTCGAGCATTCAAGTACAGTATATCTAATCAAAGTCTGAAATCAAAACAAAACAGAGAAGCAATGTAAAAAAAAAGAAAAGAAAAGAAAACAATTCTTACCTGGTTTCTGTATCTCTTGGCATATTTGTAGATTTCAGTCAAGGCCAGGTTGGTGTTGAACTCATTTCTGTATTTCTACAGGAGGAGCATCAAAGTGTTAGATTAGATTAAATTCCAAAATACGACCTGCATGTAATTGCGGGCTTTTGAGGAGGCAGATGAATAACACTCAGGGACTTTGTGGATATTTCACTCACTCGCGACTCCTCAGCCAGGTGAGCATTCATCTCCTGCTCGCTGAGAGGTGCCATTTCCTGTATCTGCTGGTAGTAGCACTGCACTCTCTTCTTATACTCTGGGATCTCCTTGGCATACAGCAGCTTGTTAGTTGGGGAGTCCTGAAAAAAAAAGACAAGACAACATATTTAGGGTCTGAGCACTCCGGTGCAAGGACCCTATTGAAACCCTTGTGATTCTTATTAGGGTCTGAGCACACCAGTGCAATTTGATATTTTAAGGGACTTGGACATGTCACTGCCAAAATGGCTCCACAGCGCCACCTTGAAAATTTCAATGAAGTCCTGTCGGAAGCACGTATGACCTACAGCAACGCAATTTGGAACGCATATAGAGCTCATCGGCACAAATAAAAATATCTCTCCGCTCCAACCTCTAAAATGCAACACGGCTCAACTGCGCCCCCTACAATATTTCAGCAGACTCCCATCGCAGCTACGTTTCACCTACAACTATGACCTTCGCCACACATGTGTAGCAACTTGTGACGCACCAAAAAGTCCATTAGCATGTGTCTGTAAATCCAACAGGAAATCCGCCATGTTGGAAAATCTGCGACCATGTTGGTCCATTTTTGCTCAAAAATGGCCATTTTTCGGCCTGAAATTTTACACGCGTGCTCCGAGTCTCAGCCAGAGCGCGTTTCCACCCCGGCCAACACGCACGCCGCCGCGGCTCGCCACTAAACAGGAAGTGGCTCGTAACTAGGACACACTTGCTCCGATATGCCCCAACCTCAACATGCCGGATCACAGGGCGT